TGTAGATCGTGTGTGTAAGATCAGTTTTGTTAGCTATTTACTAACTGTTAACAATTTATAATACCTTTTGAGTCATTTATTACATTATTCATGATAAGGCGATTATGTTTTTTCAATAATGTAAATAGGCCTAAAACATTTTTTAAAATATCTGACACTATAATTATTGCTACAAAATTATTATTATATGAACGTAAACTACTAAAACATACAATCTTTCAACATACAGTCTGTGATACCTTTTTTCTCATTAAATTTTATATTAATATTACCTATGTACCATAATACTTCCAACATTTTAAATTTCAACATTCAAATTCAAACATGAACACATTCAAGAGTCATAAATGTAGATTAAGTAAAAAGATGAATAAAATTTTATGTGTCTTCGGACAAGGAAAATCTTTGCCGTGTTTCTTTGTACATTTCACATCAAATTATTCCTGCTACTAACTACCACGATCAAGATACAATTTTTCATTACCAAATGCAGCTTCTTATAAAATATACGATAGGTGTACGTAGTCGATGGCGTTGGTGCATAAATGAAACTGAAAATGTTTTATTTTTTAGTACACACCTACAAAAGTTACAAATATTGGCCAGGAAATATATCACACTATTATTGAACATTAATCAAACAAACATTAACTTTAACATGTAAAACATATAAATTAATAACTTTTCAAATCTATAAAACGAAATGCACCGTAAATACATGTCTTAAAAACTAACTCAAACTTTATCTAATGAAAGTTTCATCCAATTTCACGGGAATAATGTTAATTGCCACATTCTTACATCTTGTTAGCAAGCCGTCATTATAATAAAGTTATTATTTACTAGAGATATCTTAAAAAGCCTTCGTTAGCGTGATCGTATGCAGCGAGGTAATTTCTCAAGACTGCACTAGACTAGAGAGATTTATACTTTATGTTTCTTCACCCGGCTTCACACCATTGTGATTATGTTTACCCCGAGATTATTTTTTATTTAAAGCTTAAATCTACGACATATTTGTTTTAAGACGAGTTCTTTGCAATATGTGGTAGAGATTGTAGCTACAAAGTCTTCACTTCATAATTAGATTTAATTCTCTAAAATACATGTTTTTCAGGTGCTAGAGCAAGGTACACAGAATCAAAATCATAAAAACCATGAATATCATATTGTGTGATAATGATTTATCATTTCAAAGATGAAAGTATATGCACGTAGCTTATCCTTCATCATATAATCATCTCCCCAATTATTATTTTTTCAGAAAATGAAATCTTCAGACAATACTTTTCAACTGTGCTAGTTTTTACGAGAAATATTGTAATTTGTATGCTCTCCTATGTATTTTGACATAAATTACCAATTTGTGCACATAATGTAGATCATTATTCTGGTGTATTTTAAAAAATACATACGATTTACTGTACCATATTTAAAAGGGACGTTCACTATGATCGAACTTTTTCCGAAGTTCTAGGCCTATAAATATAAAACGTCTTTTGCTTTTTAACCCAAAAAAGGAATTACATGAAACGAAAGTTACGATAAAAATGTAAAAAAAGCAAATTAAGGTGGCTCAGTATGAGCTGCCAAGGACTACCTGCCCTAGACAGCGCTGGTTTTCAGTTCAGCATAAATAAATAAAAAATATCTCGTGACTCACACTGTATAATTTTAGATAATCAGTCACCTGTAAGTGGCACGATCATGATGACATCAATAAATCAAACTGACTTACTTTTTATGACTACCAAAATTCGATGTTGCTCATACACTGCAAATACAAAGCTGCTGATCATCATCATTTCACAGGACGTCCACTCCTGAACATAGGCCTCCCTCAATGATTTTCAGATTGGCCGGTTGGTAGTGGTCTGGAAGCAATCCTTGGAAAACAATCCGTTTTTTATTTGTATAAGACTTGTTTAGGCTTGTAGTAAATAGTTATCATGAGAACTGGCGTCGTGAATACTGATTCGATTTAGCTGTAAAAGCTTAACATTTATTTTTTACATCTGGGTGTACTCCTGGTTTAAGGTTTACCCCTAATAAAATTCAAATTGAAATCAGAGCTTACTACCCGCTTTATTACGATTACCCTTTGTTCCTGCTTAACCTTTCATACAAATAACTCATAGTAACAGTAACAAGATAAGAACTTTTAGTTAAAAAAGCTTCTCGATTTAATAACCATTGAACCTCATTCAAAATCACCAATCAGTTTCGTGGGTACATTCGAATAGACGTCAAATTAACTAGCGTTACTTTTACCAAGGCCATGAGGCATATGTAAAAGAGATAGCTGATCTGGAATGTATGTATAACTTTCACGGCCACCCAGCCCGCTCCCGCCAGACGCGCGGGCGCCGCCACATGAATGACCATAGACAATTCTTTCATACCTCGAATCAATGGACAGCCATGAAGGTTGTTAGCCTGCAGTAATTGCTTGTTCTACTTTCTTGTCGCTAGCTACATGTTGCTCAAATTGGTTATTAATAGTATTCTACTTAGAAATGCTTCGTATCGTATAGTGGACTAAATAGGACACTATACAGGGTGGACTTTGGCTGCTCTTAATGGAGAGAGAGGGTACTCTTAATAGAAAATTCAGAGAAAACATTACTTTATCCGTGTACCGTTTGAAACAGCTCGTGAAGCACTTTCAAGATCAGTAACCAGTTTTTCGATATACTTATTGTATAGTTAAAAATAATCGAGCGAGATCACTTATCGTTTCCACCCTATATATCTTAGTTCAGAATTGCCTTTTTTGGTGGGGGAAAAATGCATTAAATTGCATACGTACCCTGCGGAGACAGGGTATTAGGTTTTATGTGGGGCTCAACAAGTTGGAAGAACCAAGCATAACTTAAAAGACCTCGTGCTTCATAAGTGACAAATAATTGTGGGATCCAAGACAGCCTGCCTGAACTGAGCTTGTGTTCATTAAGCTTGTTACATTTGTCAACTATGTAGGCCTACTAATTTAGTTGATTGCGAGCAAGTGAGAAGAGAAGGAGAATGTCAAGACCCCCGTTAAGGTTGCAATCGACAAAATAATATAATATCGTTTAATCAGACCAATAAAATGTTTTCATTATTTACCAATTCGTGAAATTCTTTTACGTATGTTGTACTAATTTGAAGTTATTTCATGCAAAATATTGTGTTCAATATTAATACTAGGCCGCCACTTTGACATATTGACAACTTTACAAACATATTGTAAAGTTGCCAGGCTTTTCGCTTCATTCACTTTAGTAGAGACTCATAATAACCTAAGAAAATAAATGAATTCTAAAATAATTAAATCACGATTATTATTTGGTGCCGCTGTACCGACTCTATAAAAATCGAATAGGAATCTAAATAATAAGGGAAAAAATAATAATTTCAACGTTGTTTCGGTAAAACTGCATAATACGACACGTTACTTCATTATTATTTTAGATTCAAGCAAAGTCGATTAGTAAATATCCCAAAAATAATGTCGGTAATTTTTAGGTCTTATTTTTGCTCCTTCATTTTCATCATAGGCCTCCCCCAATGACTTCCACAATAGCCGGTTGGTGGCGGCCTGCATCCAGCGCCTTCCTGCTACCTTTATGAGGTTGTCGGTCCACCTTGTTGTCGGTCTATGATCAGTACCAACTAACTATACTTTTCTTTCAACATTATACATAGAGTCAAATGGCACCAGGTAGAGTAACATGCAGAATAGGCTTTAGCAGTGCTAGCCTTCTACCGATTGAAAATCATTGGTCTGTTTGGCAGCTCAATAAGAATAATGAGCATCATCCAAATGCTGTGCATCAGTCACCAATTTCGAAATGAGTTCATTTGCAATCCATCGCGTCATTCTCACGAGCTCTGTCACATCCGCTTACCAACATTATGTGGTGGGATTGCGGATACCTACCAACGGATGTGGTGTTAGATAACTTTCGGAGCCGATTCGAAATTGTGTTTGGTGCATACTCAGTACCTATATGGTTTTAGGCCACCAACGATATTGAATTATGTTAATTAAGTTAAGAAATCTGTCAAACTCCATATAAAAAGCTCCGGTTATCGTTATAGTTACCGTTAAAGTTAGGTGGTGCAACTCAGCCTAAATCGTTGTGTTGTTGATAAGCTATAGCCTATAATTTTCTATGATCGGACAGCTCTACATGGCATCACCATAAGGTTGCCTTAATTTAAGTTGTCATAAATATTATTATTATTTAGATCACCTAAAGATTGATGTAGCACAGTAATGAAATAAATAAAAAATAAAGATTTTTAGAAAACCGACTAAACATGTAAAGTTTCTTGGCAAATAATTTCCGTGCATTATGCAAATGTATTTGACTCTACATAGATTTTCCGTAGTTTTCTCCGTACCTACCGGAAGTTTTCAGGAAAATAAATTTTCACGCCTAATGACGCACAAACAGTCTGTATAATGTAAGCAAGTAAAAGTGAATTATTATAAAAATAAAATTACTTTCTTATTAATATCTATTTGCAAAAATTTAAGGTAGCGTTGGCAGCCATGTCGTGTAGTCGGTGAAAACCCGCTATTTCATTAACTCTACAGCGCTCCTAAATATCTGTCCGGTGAAGGTAATGGCATCTGTGGTGACGAGACGCACTCGGTACACCTAGAGACATTCATCAGTCCAGTCGCGGACAGCGAGTCAAACGGTAAAGTCGCGGAGTGCCGTCGACCGCCGAAAGTGACGCGGGTGAGCGGCGCCGCGGGCCCGGGATTGGTGCATATCGCGGGGAAAACGCCCGCATCGATGAAACATATTCGCGAGACGCAAATTTTTCAGAGGCGAGTTGGCGAACGTGTGTCCCCCACCACAGACTGACAGTGACCCAAATGGTGCGCCGGCGCAGTCAGTTCCGCGAGCTCGCGACGGGCGCACGCCCGCGCCGCCGTGACCGCCGCTCTCGGGAGCCTATTCGCTGTCGTTTTGGTGTGATTTACGATCGGATATTACTGTGCACAATGCAGTGAGTGAACATCGGTTAAAACTTCTTTTTATGGCGCATTATTATGACGCATGTGGATGACCGCCACCTACGTAGAGGTAAGTAATGTGAAAAATTTGGCAATGCGAATAAATGACAGAATGTTTCAGTGGTAGAGTTTTAATGTATAGCAGCAGGCAGCAAACGGCGTCGGTGAACGTGGTGATGAGTCAGCGGCGTCTCGAATTTTCCTTTTGTACGAATAGTGTCACTGCCATGAGGGGTGCCGGCGGGCGGCGGCGCCGGCCCGGCAACAGGCGCGTGCGGAGCCGGAGCCGGCACGGGCCGGAGCGCCGCCGCCGGCTCTCGCGATCTAACGGAATCGGATTCCTCTCGGCCGAAATTCCGCCGCGGACGTTCACGCCGCGACCGACTGAAATAAATCGCTCGTTTAACACAAATAGCACGACATTGTCGCCGCATTGACAGACGGACGAGCATTTCCGCTTCTTTTTATCTCTTACTCTTCAGAACCTTAACATTAGCTCCGCCTATGACGTAACAATGTTTCCATCAATCGATCAGTAGCACTACAACTCGCGAAAGACATTCAGGATTGATTCATACCCACGAAATCTTGAAAACGAAGCGAATGAATGTAATTTGACTCTCATATGAGGTGACTTCGTAACCAGTTCAATGTATTCAATGTCGTAAAATTGAACTGTAATGTAATGTAAGCGTCTAATTACGTTTCAGCATTTCAGCACATGTTGCTAAAACTTATTAACACGTGGCTGTCGACAAAGATGGCAAGAGATTTGAGCACATGGTTCACCAAATGGGAGATTTCCTAGGCAAAGTGGCGGAGGTCAGGTGTTATCGCGTGGCAACACGGGTGTTTGCTAGAGACAGATGGCTAGTATCGTGACCTTTCCATGAAACAATCGGCGGCACATATACCTACACTCGCGCGATAAGGAATGTATCTATCATGCGTGACGTCAGATGCCGCCGGCCGCGCCGCCCGCGCACCGATCGGTGAACTTTGCGACATTGCCTGTGATAACTACAATTTATTAACTAATTTCAAGCTTCATGACATGATTAATGCTAATTAATTACACGGCTCGGCAAATTCTATTATCACTTTGATCCGCTGTTGTAAACCTTGTAAATTTTGTAAAAATAATATTTTCAGTCAGTTACATAACCATTAGAAGTGAGTCTCTATATCCATATATGCGCGCACTTGCCTACATACTCGTACATTCTTTCTTTTCTTTTCTATCCCAACCTTGCCTGAATTACAATTTGTCTTACCTCACTTATTTTGACTCTACATAGTTTTTTCGTCGATTTTCCGGGAGCGGTTCTACGAAATGATAATACCCAGCCACTAAAACGATACCGCTATCGGATGTTTACTAGCTATTAGCGCCCTCGTAGCAATGAAACTAAACATAAATAATTGGTGTCATTTGACAACCTTCAGTTGAATTTGGTATCACGATGTTAATAATGTAAGATCATAAAATTATGTTACATTATTATTTTTAGTCGTCGAGATACCACCACTGGGGTTAACGATAACATTATAAAAACGAATCCTCAATTAAAAGTCTTTGCTCTCATCTCATCCAATGTAGAGTTGACCAGGCTCATTACGTCACAAAACAGCAAAGGGGCCAGTTGCAACAAGTTCCAACATGTACAGAGGGGAAGTGGACGAAATGTGATAGCGACGTGTTTATTGAAATACATTATTTACAAATAGACGCAAACTTTCCTTTACATGTTTTGTTTCTATTCAGGTTGAGGAAAATATATCTCTAAAACTCTGAACTCTATGCCCTAGTGTTATAAAGAAAATTTTCCTTGTTATTTTGAAATTACTCAACTCCATTTATGGTACTTATACTCATACTTTATTTTCAATACAGTAAATTCAATTTTCAGTTTTCTTCCCAAATGCGAAATTTTCTCATTTTCTTAGAAACATTTTTTGGTACTTTAAAGAAGTAAATATTGTATCATTTCTTAATATTCTTATTCTGCTTCAAAGTACGGATTTGAAAGATATAACGTGTATAAATGAGCAAAGGTTATCGGCAAGAGCCAGGCTGGAGGGCGATCGCCTTAAAACGTCTTGTCGAGACCTGTCGCGGCCGCGTCGCTGCAAACGACCTTACGATTCATACAACGTTTTACCCCCAGAAAACATACTAGTTTTCATTGATAACAATATTGCATCAATTTTCCATCAGTCACAGTTAGTTTTCCGACTCGATTAACTTTACTTCTGTTTTATTGATTTTCATAAAATAAGACAATAACCGTACGTTTACAAAATATTTTGATAAGCCTGCTAAAGAATAGTCTTCTAATAAACATTCCAAGCTCAATCAAAGACTCAGAATAGTTCAAATTTTCATAAGTTTACAGCAAAGTTACCCTGAAAATTTTGTGAAAAATTAAGTTTTTGTAGAGTCAATGTTTTCTGTGTAATGTTATGTCAAAATAAGGTAAACATGCCGAATAACATTTGTTATTGTTACACGTTTGTTTTCTACATGATTCAGTACCTCTAGTAGGAAAAACTTTCGAGTTCGTTTCGTTGCGTATTCAAAGTGTCATCGAAAAATTTTGTATGAAAAATTAAACAGCGCCCCCTAGGGCGACTATAATATAGGGGGCGCTGTTTAATTTTTCATACAAAATTTTTCGATGACACTTTGAATACGCAACGAAACGAACTCGAAAGTTTTTCCTACTAGAGGTACAGATCGTGTAGGTTTTGTAGGCGGGCGTTGTAGAGTTGCAACAACGCAGCCAGGCCATAGCGACCAACAATGACTCACGCGGCCGGTTCCGCCGCCTCTGACCAGCTCGCCTTTGCACATTACCTACACGCCACATAACTACAGAAAACTAGATAAAAAGGCAAAGAATTAACCCACACTGAAGGATTGTTAGTATTTAAAAAAAACCTAGGTAATGTAACTTTTGAAAAGAAATAAAAGTGGCATTACCTAACTTTTAAATAGATTACAACTAAAGATCAAGTAATATTCTTAATGTATTCTTATTGAGAATGAATTTAGCATATTTATATTAGCTAATACTAAATTATATGGTTTTCAAAATAATTTCGCCTAGGTTGTTTTAATATTAATAAGACAGGATTAGATGGCATTTTTATGAACGTGACTTTCAAAAAATATATTTTTAATATAATCTCATGAAACCTCATCATAATTTATATAAATCACATAGTTAATTAATAAACTTATATAGCTTATACCGGTGTCAGTTCGCGAGTTGTAAAACTTTCCTGTTAAAGTAGGAAAAATACGTGCCACTAGCAGTCCAGTATTATCAATATGATTTATTAATATACATGATATTATTGAACTTTGATTTCCTATAATCATTTATCAGCACTAATTGACACTAGGGTATCATTAGTGAAAAACTTTCGTTTGAATGATCATTAAAAAAATTGGTTAAGAGCGGTAAAAATAATGTTTCTGAGAAGGTAGAGCTATAATTTGATTGAGGTGTCTTTAAATTTAAATTGAATAAAACATTTTGATTTATAACGCTATTTGTTGCTGGACTTTATCAGATAATACACTTTTACATGTTTGTTGCCCGATGTAAATACACTGTATGGTAGAAAACATTTATTTATTTAAGTGATAAGCATACATAAATAATCACAAAGCCTTCTACTTTGTAGTTTATTCGTGATAGATACAAAATATAAATGCTACGAGTATCACTCATTATAGTTACACTAGCTTTCCGCCAGCGGCTTCGCCCGCGTGAAACCCAACCCAATTTTGAAATTTTGTCTGTCACAGAAAAACTTTATCGCGCGCGTCCCTGTTTCAAAAACCGGGAAAAAAACTATACTATGTCCTTTCCCGGGACTCAAACTATCTCTATGCCTTTCATCAAAATCGGTTCAGTGGTTTAGGCGTGAAAGCAAGACAGACAGACAGACAGAGTTACTTTTGCATTTATAATAAGAAAGGGTTGATAGAAGTATAGATATAGATTAATCAATGTTCAGGGCATTGGCCTTTTGTTATCAATTTCATCGGTGAAATCATATTCTGCGACAGGTATAAAATTATTTATAAAGATTCTGTATGTTTCCACTTTTCACATCCACTTTTAATTATTATCAAGACCACATCGAAAATCTTTCCAATAAAACATTTCTCATATTTGTCCGTTTTGTGTGGTGTGCAATAAAGATGCCTATCTTTCTACCGAAATACAATTGTATAATACGTATCGTCAACTAGATATTACAGATCGTGTTGATTACGAGCGAATTTTATCAATACCTTTCGAGTTATTTTTCAAAAATAACTTTGCTTGCGACTCTATAAAAAGGGCATTGGTTACAGTCTAGTGGCTCGTTGAGCAACACACGCCTAATGAAAAATAATGGTCTCGAATCGCGTGAGATATCCGATGCCAATAACGCCCGTGAATAGGCAAAAAACGTCTTTATTCAGTCGCTTAGACAAAATGGCGGCGAACGACGACACCTAGCTAAATGCTGTTTCATTACGCCTGTTGAGCTAAATATGTCTACTGCTTTATTTGCGGTGAAGATAAATCTGTTATACCTACCGACTTGTAGATTTATTTGCACTGATATAAAAGAAAAAGGTAAGTTTGTGACTTTGTACGAACTAATCTGGAGAACTAAACAACAGATTTGGATTTTTCTTCACAGCTACATTATTCCTGAGTTTGACAGACCGTAAACGCTATTAATAATCCGTATGTGTACTTATTTTTAATTCAATCTCAATGCCATCAAAATTGGCAGGAGGCAAGTGGGAACGATTACCACGTTTGATATATTTTAAAACATGGCACCCAACACATAAACAAGGTGATTCATTTTGCTGGGGCGTTGATCCCTTCGAATAGGGCAGTGTGATGTGACGTCTTCTTGTGAATGATGTAGAGTTATCAAGCTATCTGATGCCTGGTATTAAATTCTTGATAAACTTACTCAAATTACATGTAACATGCTTATTGTTGATTCAATGCACCTTATATGAATCAGTTCTTTGATAAGTAATTGCTTAAC